AACGGCCCACCCCGTCGCGCTAACGGCCGCCGCCGCCTCAGCCCGCCCCGCCAACGGCTTCGCCCCGCCTCAGCCCGCCCCGGGCCAGGGCTGCCCCGCCGGCTACCGCAACGCCCGGAACCGCCCGGGCGAGCCACCGCGGAGGAGGCAGGGGACCGCCGCGCGGACACGTATGCGGCCACTCGCGCCCGTCCCTCCCCCCACCTGCCCCCTTTTTGTCCGGTTTAATTCCCCTTTCAGGGAGCCGAGGGGAGAGGGTTGCACTTCTTTGAGAGGGTTGAGCCGGTACAGAGAGAGCAACAAAGCTGGTGAGGGGTCTGGAGCACAAGTCTTATGAGGAGAGGCTGAGGGAGCTGGGGTTGTTCAGCCTGGAGAAAAGGAGGCTGAGGGGAGACCTTACTGCTCTTTACAACTACCTGAAAGGAGGTTGTGGAGGGGGGGGGGTCAGTCTCTTCACTCAAGTCACAGGTGACAGGACTAGAGGAAATGGCCTCAAGTTACACCAGGGGAGGTTCAGGCTGGATATTAGGAAAAAATTTTTCACCTAAAGGGCTATCAGCCATTGGAATGGGCTGCCCAGGGAGGTGGTTGAGGCACCATCCCTGGAGGTGTTCAGAAGACAGGTTGATGTAGTGCTGGGAGATACGGTTTAGTGATGGTGTTGCTTTTTGTTTGTTGTGTGGGAGTTTATTTTTGTCAAAATTAGGTTGATGGTTGGACACATGATCTTTAAGGTCCCTTCCAACCTAGACGAGTCTATGATTCTCAGGTCGCGCCTTCCCTCAGCCCAGGGACATGCGGGGAAGGGCTTTGCGGGGCGTTTGTGGGAGCCAGGCCCAGCCTCTAACTCCCCCACAGCCACCTGTGGGCTTCGGGCGGGGAAGCGGAGGGGGCCGCGGCGAGCTGTCCCTCGGAGAGAGAGGAGGGGGGAGGGAGCCCGCCGCGACGCGGTGCGGGCCGGGCTCCGGGCTGCGTGCGGGGTCAGGAGCGGGGCGTCTGCTCCCTCGCCGAAGTTTCCCCATCTCCGAAGGGCGGCCGGCGAAGCACGGTGCGGGGCGGCTGGCGGGGATCCCCGCCCCGCTCCACCGGCATCACATGGTGCTGGGGGGGGGGAGGAGGAGGAGGAGGAGGAGGAGGAGGAGGAGGAGGAGGATGAGCCGCGAAGGGCCTGACAACCCCAGGCTCGGTCGGGCCACGCACACCCACGGAGGAGGATGAGGTTTTCCCGAGAGGGGAAAAGGAGGGACGGGGGGAAGCGCCTCTCCGGGGCAAATAAAGTTTTGAGGCGGAGAGGGCAGCGCTCGGTGCCCCGCTCGGCTGCCCCCCGGCACGCCAGGATGGGGGGCGAGGCTGGAGCGCGGCGCGGGGCTGGGCAGGGCGGGAGCCGGGCGGGCTCCGCCGCCTGCTCCCGGGGCGCCTCTTGGCAGCGGAGGCGGCGGGGAAGCGGCACAAGTGCGCGGCGCCCCCGCTGCCTCCCCTCCTTCTGATGCCCCTTCGCGACTGCACGCCAGCCCGGCGGCCGCGGCTCCGGGAGGATGCGGCTCTTCCTCCTCGCCGCAACTTTCTGGGGATTGTGCCTGGCTCCAGGTAAGGGGCTCCGCGCCGCTCCCCTGCAGGCGCCTCAGCCGAGCCCGGGCTGCCCGGCGCTGCCCGCGGCGAGGCTTCGGCCCCTCGCAGCCCCTCGACGGAGCTGGCGCCGGGCGCTCAGCGGGAACTGGGCAGCGGAGCCCGCCGTCCTGCCCGCGGCCCGGAGAGGTTCCCGCCGCCTGCGAGGGCGCTGCCCGGTGCCCCCGGCGCTGGCTGCCCGCGGGGCGAGGCGAGCTCCGCAGGCGGCACCCGGCACCGGACTCGGAAGATGCTGCCCGCCGGCGCCGCGCACTCCTCCCCCGGGCGGCGGGCTGGCGGTCAGCCCCTGCGGGGAGCGGGCTCGGTCCCGCCGCCGCAGCGCTCCCCGCGGAGGGGAGAAGGGGGCTGGGGGGTCCTCGCTGCTCCCCGACGGGACTCCGGGAGCCGGTGGGGGGCTCGGCGGAGGGCTGAGAAGAGCGGCTCCTGGCGAGGCATACGGAGCACCTCGTTTGCATGATAAAGGAGGGAGGTGAAGGATGCTCCGTAGCTGTAATTGTGCATGGCAAAATAGTAATTAAATCATTTGTAATTAATTAGTAGCTAAGTAAACCCGTCGGCACAGATAAGAGCCGAAGCGTATCTATTAGCCGGGTTGCTCTCTCTCTCTCCGGAGCGCGGATAGTTTTTAGCCCGCCGCGCTGAGGGCAGCCCCGGGGCCGGGCGGGCGAGGGGCAGCGGCTGCTGTGCCGGTGCCGTGCCGGTGCCCCGCCGCCTGCTGGCGGCAGCGTCCCCCGCGCCGCGGCGGGAACGGCGGGCCGGAGCGGCTGTAACGCCGGAGCCCCCGCGGAAAGGAGTCCGCTTCCTAACCAGGTGCCAAGCACGGAAGGCATAGCCTCAGCTGGGTGGGAGACGCGTTTATTTTACGTTATTTTTGTCAAAGTCTTACTTTTGCTGAGCAAACTTCGATGAGGGAAAGATAAGGATGATTTCTGGCACATGTTGATTGTGGTAGGTTTTTTTAATATTATCATTGCTAGTAGTCTGAGCAAAACACTCTCTGTTGCAGGCTTGGGTTTGCAGATACAGTGCTACCAGTGTGAGGAGTTCCAGCTAAATAATGACTGCTCTGCTCCAGAGTTCATCGTGAATTGTACAGTGAATGTTCAAGATATGTGTCAGAAAGAAGTAATGGAAAAAAGTTTTGGTAAGAATTTAATAATTATTTGTGTTGTGTAGCATTTGTTGGTTTTGGCTCCACCCATTCACAGTCTTCAGCTACGGATGAATCTGACATTCCTACCTAAAGGGACCAGATTCAATTTCTTATACTTCTGAGTGACTTTGCAACTCAATAAAGTTAATCATTTTCCTTTAAAACTGGTGTAAAAGCTAAGGATGCAAGCCAAATGTTGATAAAGCTGTTAATACAGTCTTATGGGTCTCAGATTTAGTTTCCCTGCACTGGGAAATTAATAACAACAAGTTAGTTTAATCTCATTACAGTTAATTACATGGGCTTTTCCCCCAAGAGATGGAAGAGCATTAAATTAGTAATTCCCTCCTTTCTTTTATTTACTCTAGCAATTCATATACTCTGAAGGTTCATCTTAAGGGAAGAAAAGTCTAGTCATCTTTGCTTTCACCCGTAAAAAAAGAAAAACAACAAAACATCAAGCAAAAGGGAGGGATAAAAAGAACATTCGGGGGAGGAGAGGAGGGCACAAATGGATATATTTGCCATACTCATTTTCTAAGTCTAAGGGGGCTTTTCCCATAGCGTAATTAAATTTAAAGTTAGCGTATTTGGAGATAAATGTGTTCAAGAGGAAACCATCTGTGATGCTGAGTCTTGTCTCTATTGTCTCCTGAGCTGTGCTAGGAATTACTTCTTTTTATTCAGCACCATGGACAGGGCCTGAGATTTAGGGAGACCTGTCCGGGTTTTCAGAGCACCCCGCTGCTCTGCAGCCATCTATGGCAGTAGAAGACACAGCTTTGATAGGGACTTCAGGGCTGGGCAGGGTGGCAGGGAAGTGTGTTTGTGGGAGTTGGAGCTCCTGCAGCATCCTGCTCTCTGTGCCAACAGCCGTGAAGACACTGGGCGTTAAAAGAGGCAAAGTAGCAATAACTCACTGGTGTGCCTCAACTTGGATGTGACATCTGTTCCAAGCATCAGGCTTAGGAGCAGAGGGCAGGTCGGGACTTCAGAACCCTGATTGAAGGGGAAGCAGCTCTCTGGGACTGTGCATCTTGCAGCTGAGGGCAGTGCTTTAGAGCCTGGAGTTCACTGATGCAAAGGACTGTTATGCTGTTAATACAAATTGAGCTGTAGTCTGTCCTTTCTCAGCGAGTCCTTCAGTAACAGCAGGATCCCTCACCTCTGTCTTCAACACTAACATTGGTTCTTTGCATTAGGAAACTATTCATGGGTATTTTCAAAGTGCTTATCAATCAGCTAGGTCCGCTTGTGCTGGTAGTTTCAGATCACTACATTAGGAATCATAGAAAAATAATAAGAATTGTTGTTAGCTATCAACAATAGCTGAACTACTGGCTCTTCTGTTTCATCCTGGGTAACATCACCCACGGTGACTGTATTTCTGTAAAATATGTAGATCTCCAGTGTAGAAAAAAACAACCCTGTATGTTTAAAGGAAGATTAGTCTCTTTCAAGCTAAATATATATATATTTCAAATTCACTTTGAAAGAGGGTGGGGATGGGAAAGAGTTCTGGATTGCAAGGCACTTTTAAAGTCTGAGTATCTCTGAATGAAGGCTTTGCTATTGCACACCACATCTTCTATAATACTTTTAATAGGTTTGAATGGATGTTATGAAGATTTGAAGGGCTGTAGACATGGACAAAAAAGTCAGTTCTCACTGAATTCTTAACAGTTATTTGGTGTTCGGTTTTGTTTTAGGTTTTTTTTAAGTATCTTCCCTGTTTCTTTCATGTTTTCTTTTCAGTACAACCCTAGACTGTATCAGCCTTCCAGAAGCATATCTGCAATCTTCCCTTTGGGTTAATGTTAGAAAAGTGTTTTCAGTCAAGTAAACCCCTCACAGATTAAAGTGCAGCTCTTCTGGATCACTGGGCTTGCACGTGTGCATACGCACACCCGCAGATGTGTTAAGAGGCAGCCACTTGTGTGCTGCCTGTGTAGGATCGGGCAGGCAGTCATGCATCTCTTCTCAGATGAGCAGGCAAGGTTGCAGTCTGGCCAGTGTGACTGTGGCACATTGAAAATGAGAACTGGAACTGTTTTAATAGATTTTAGACATACATTGATGCATAACTTGTCCTTACTTCTATGCAGAAATTGGCTTGCAACATAGTAAATAAGGAGCTGTTAAAAGAAACTTCTGGGTGGCTTTGTGGTTTTTTTCTTTTTTTTTTTTTTTTCTTATAGCATCAGCACATATCCATTTTTTTTTTTTTTTTTTTTTTTTTTTTTTTTTTTTTTCTGTAGAGTTTTAGATTGTCTATAAGGAGATCCTCAGATTTTCCCTTTAGGAGGTAACTAGCACGCTGTGCATAGCAGGTACCACTGCTCTATTTAATTTACTTCTGTAAATGCAGTTCTTATTCATTTTAAGCTTAAAGACTGTAAATTTCAGCTAGTGAATAAATCTGAATTTTTAACTTAACTATTTCAAATTGAGTGAAATTTACATTGCAAACTTAGTTTCTCTGTTATCTTCAGTCAATTCTAGAGAGGATTGGTTGTAAAACAGATGATTCAGTTCATCATCCTTTATTGTTTTTTATTGCTAATTGATATTTAAATGTGTGTAATATAAATGCCTTATTCTCTCAAGTTTTATTTAATAATTCATTCTACTTTTACCAGTATATTTCATAACTTGATTCTTTTGGTTCTTGCTTATCACTGAAAGCTGAAATGTTTCAAATATTGATTTTAATTTATAACAGACTTGAGTTTGAATTTTTAACCCAGAATATGAAAGATGTGAATTTGCATTTATTTGACAGCACAGTCTCATAATTAAGAGTTTTTCCTCTTGACTAGATACAGTCAAAGGAGTATAATTTAATTTTTATAGACTAACCCATTTTTGTCATTAATAAAATATAGCTGTGTCAGTGAGCAAAATGTTACAAGTTCCCCTAAACCTTATTTAAAAGTTAAATGCAATATTCTGAGATAAAGTTCATGGTCTGAATCAGCAACCTATTGATGTAGTCACCCTTCCTTTGCAGTATACATTAATCTGTGTGTTTTGCTATCAAGGGGGTCAGTGACTTACATTCTGTGGTGTGCCTACAGTATAGTCCCCAGCGTGTAGCCAGTGACTTTTTTTCTTATATATATATATTGGTGTTCACTGTGTTGTGCAATGACAGCTCTATGGTTCAGCTTCATTTCTGTATTAAGCTTCCTATAAACAAGGCAGTGGAGAGCTACAACTCTGTGCAGTTTTTTTCATTTAAGCTGTAAATAGTTCCTTATGCTTGATCATAGTTAAACAAACCACTCCTCTTCGGTTGCTATAAAATTAGGGTTAGTGCTTTAAATGTCACTGTGTTCTCTCAGAACATTACCTCCGTTTCCGGAGAACCGATCTTAGGAAGTGCTTTTTGGCTTCAGGTGAGAAATAACAGCAGCATGTTCCTAAGCCAGAGCTTAAAAAGTGGCTGTGACTGTGAGAGTCTATGATGCGAGTAGCTAAGAATGCAGGTATTAGTCACTAATGTTTTGAATTGGATCTGCAGGCACGTTATCCCAGTTGTTTGTAGTATCAGGTAGAAATTTGCTCCATTTCACAACTTCAAATGAATTGAGCAGTATGTCGGCATGTATCTGATTAAGTGATTATGTGGAACTAGTCTAATTCTGCCTCCCCTGCAAACATGCACTTTGTTATGGCAGTTTATATTCCAGTTGCACTTTAGGGATCTGCCAGTGCACAGAATCGGAAACTTTGTCAAGTAAATGACAACATGTTTTTCTCACTTTAAGCACAGCTGTATTTAAAAATTTTGCTTGAACGAGTTTTGATGCAGTTATGTTAACATTCCTTTCTAGTAGGAGATACAGGAGGACAGGACAATATTGTGCCTGCAATGCAAAATCTTACAAACTAATTTGTTAATTTAATCCTGGGGAAAAAAAAAAAACAAACACCAAAACCCAAAACAAATCAGTGCTTTCTTCCTTTAGAGGGAAGAATGGTGGGCATGGGAAATGGCACTGTAGACTATGAAGTAATTTTTGTTCCACAGAAATTAACATAAGTGATACATTTCTGGTAGTGTGTAAATTAATTAAAGGACCAAAGTTCTTGCTTATAATAATTACACTTGCAGATATTTTGAGGAAATACCCATGGTAGATTCCCCTCTCACTTCCCTCTCTCCTTCCCATCCATGAACTTTTAACTTAGACATGTCAGTGCTCCTTTGTTTTTATAATCTATATAGGAAAAAAGAAATCCCACAGTATATTGGGATCAGATGAAACTTCTTGATGATACGTATATATGATTTTATATATACATCATAGAAAACATACTGATAATGAAGCTTACCTTTTATTGAAGGCAAGAACTATCTGAGCATTAAGGCTGATCTAAAACCTACTTAAGGCAAAATGAAACTTGCAATGTGAATAGATCAGAAAGGAATAAAGCATGAAGGATGAGACAATCGGCCCAGAAAGGCAGCCAGTGTAAATTTCTCAGAGCTCTCTGCAAGTAAACCTGCCCATGTGTATATTTTGAACAATATACCTTGTGCTCTAATGTAGTTGTGAACGTAGTTTCACAAACTTTTACTTTTGCAAGGAAGAAAAAAAAATGATCCACAGTAGCAAGACTGATATTTTAAAATGTCTTTCTATACAGAACTAAGATTACTTATGAATTTTCCTTTGCCCATGAATTGTGCATTACTATTTCTATTAACTTGTAATAAGAAAATTCTCTTACTTGTTTGGTTCACAATGGTGTTTTTAATGTATTTACATAGGGTATAATAATGCAGTGTAATTAAAGCAATTGCTGTAATTGTGTGCTTAAAAGAAGTGCATGGGAACATCATGAAAGACCGTCAGCTCACTCTTGAGCTATAATTTTATTTAACTCTTCTCAGTATTGGTTTCCCAGTCATTTGTTTTATCAGGCAGAGGAAAACAGTGTCTAAGTTGTGTGATGAGTTGGCCTATGGTAAGTTCTTTACCTGT